TCATTAAAAAGTCACCTGAGGTCCTGGGTAGTAGCAATGGAGTCTTCAAGGACAATCAAGCCCCAGACCTTGGCGATGAAGGTGGCCTGTAGAAGCCAGGCCCTGTGTTATAGCTACACATACCTGGCTCAGGTGTCAGAGGTGCTGGTGAAGATCTGGGGAGACGAAGCTGCTCCAGGCCCCGCTGTGGCCTGAGCAACTACACAAGTGCACTCAAAATGGCAGCCACCGTCCTCTGCCTTGAAGTCCCCCAGGACACTCTCCATAGCCCACTTTAACCAGGGAACACAGGAATGAGAATTCTGGGCACATGTGTTCAGCCTAGCCAAGCTGACACATTAATAAAGCCACCACATCCTGTTATAATAGCAAAACATATGCCTGCAACATTGACGAAATGATTCTTCGCCTGATCAAACTTTAGTTAGGATCCTGAACCTTCTTGGCTCACCTGTATATTTCCTTATCAACTCAGCATTAGCAGAACTCTTAAGTCATATCAATGAGAACCCTCCACTCTCAGTATCTGATTATCCTTGATATCTAATCAGGTTCTTCATCCTCTGCCAACTCCCAGGCGTCTGATTATACTGGCCTATCACCAGCAAGAATCCTGTTAGGCTTACCTAGAATCCCCTGGCTCGATATTTTATTTGTAATTTTTTATCTACTGATTCCTATCCTGCTCCCTGGCTATAATTTCCACTTGCTCTTGCTGTGTTCAGAGTTGAGCCCAATCTTTCTCCTCCTTTGCAAAATCCCCTATCAGTGGGCCCCCACCTACCACAATGGGCCTAAACAAAGTCAGCCTTACCAGGTTTTAGCAAGTGTCACTGAGTAGTTGTATTTTGTTTTGTTGTTTTTTTAAACACCACATAAAGAAATCCTATGGGCCCCGAACAGAAACTGAAAAGACAAGTTCCTAGCTTACTGAGCCCCAGTAAAAGGTGCTTCAGCCAATATTGACCAGATCAGAACCTCTCCCATTATCTGGGCAGTAACAATATCCATGTCATAAATAGGAGAATCAAACCATAAATGAACAGAAAAGAAAGTACTGACCACGTACAGCTGGGCCTCCTACACAACAAATCCCAGTCTATATAGAAAGAGGTTTCCCATCTATCCTTGACTTATGCAAAGCTTTGGATTTGCATAATTTCTTTTCATGTACAAGTTTTCATAATAGCATCAAAATTATCCTCTCATTGACCCTTAACCTATATATTCTTGGCACTCAGACTGCTCTCTACCCCACTTTCACTCACATAGTGCATTCATCTGCTTCTGTGAGAGGCCACAGCTATACTGGCCTAAAGACACTGTTATTAGGATTCTCTGGAGAGCATACGTGCGTGCGCGCGCGCGCACACACACACACACACATGTACATACGTACGTGTATATGTACACACATATAGATGGTGAGAGACTGCCTTTCAGCATTTGGCTCACGTGACCGTGGAGGTTGGCCAGTGAGAATCGGCAGGGCAGGTGCCAGCAAGCTGGAAGTCAGGCCCTGTGTGAGGTGGTGGGGCTGCAGGCAGCCTGGAGGCACATTAAGGTTCTCACTTTAGGGAGAGAGGCATGACGACAGTGCTGTCACAGCTTGTTTTAGAAACTCTCAGTACTAAAGGGGTGGCTTCAACACAGGGTGAGAGAGGGGGACAGAAGATAAAGCTGACATGTATGGCCTTGACTGTCACTGTTAAAACGGGAGCCACCACAGCATTCAACAGGGGTGACTGGCAGATGGTGTGCACCAGCAGGCACAAGTGGAAAACCTGGGGTCACTGGGGAAAAGAGGAGGAGAAGCCGGGGGCAGAGGCATCATGGTGGCAGTTCCCCTACAGGAACCGAAGCTCTGCCGGATAGTATCGGAGCTTTCACAGGGTGATGGCAAGAAGCTTTTGCAGGGAGAGAGACCACCAAGCTGAGGATGCTCAGGTTGGGGACAGCAGTGGGCAGAAGTGCTGTGGGCTCAGCAAGGACAGGCTGTGGAAGCACAGGACAAGAGTAGGTGGTGGACATGCTTGGTCTGAGGTCAGATACATTCCTCCAGGAGGAGTCAACAGGCAAATGCAAATACGCTGGGCCCCGGAAGCCATCTGCAGAGAGGGCAGGAAGACCATCAAGTGAAGAGAAAGCCCGGTTCTTCCCAGGGAGGAGCTCATCTAAGGAACATGTAAGAGCATGAGCCAGAAATGGGAACTGAGGGGAAAGGGACATTCCAAAAGCCAAGTTAAAGAGAATATTAAACAGTCCAACGCAGCCAGGAGGTCAGGTGACAACCCAAAAAGGAGGAAAAAAAAAAAAAAAGAAGGTGGTCCAGTCCTTGGGAGCAGCTAGAAAATTAACAGGAGGCTTGAGTGAATGGGAAGTCCTGGGCGGGGGGGGGGGAATCAAACAGGGTACACGAAAATCATTTGTAAGATCTGGGGATATAAAGGACAAGAGGGGTTCCTGCAAGGGCGGAGGAGCGAAGGGGCACATATCCTAGGAATCTGAGTCAAGGCGCAGGTGGCAGGTAAGGACAGATGGGCTGCAGAGGAGGAAGCAGCAAGGAAGTGAGGGAGGAGGAAGGGACACCTCAGACCCGTGGTTACCAGGGTAAAACCAGAACTCACCATCCGCCCAACACTCAGCGTACGACTTGGAACAAAGCCCCCACTGAAGGCAGCCCACCAGGGAGACCCCTGGGCCCTGGAGAGAGAAGGCCTGACTCTCTCCTCGTCACAGGTAAAGGAGGTGGGGAAGGAGCTAGGGGTGGCAGGAACACACAGAGGGGACAATCTGCTTGGCTTACCTCAGGGGTCAACCTGCTCTGCAGGGGCAGTAAGCAGGGACACAAGGACAAAGCAAATACAAGAGCTGCTGTGGAAGAGAGGCTCAGAGCACAGGGGAGCATCAGAAATGACGACTAAGGCTGCAGCCACACACAGTAATGGCAATTCCTCCATAGAAGTGGGTCCAATGAAAGGCAGCGTTGGTCCCCAGCTGGGATAGACCCGAAGGGCTATCCACAGCCACCAGGGTTGGGGGTGAGACAGCTGATGCTTCCCATAGGGCTGGATGGTCCAGCCTTCTCTCCAAGCTGCCGAACACAGTGCATCATGCCCACATTCCACTACCCAACACGCCCCTCTGCAGGCTGGGCCCGGGCAGGGCAGCGCACCCTGCAAAGCTGCCTTCCACGTCCATTTGTGTGACTGTTTCATTAACATCCAGCTCCCCATTGGGCTGCTGGCCCCCTGAGAGCCATCAACACTGAATTCCCATCACACAGCAAGGGCTCCATGATGATTTGCTAAATAAGACACAACTGAACCCTTGGGGATGTTTTATAAGAGATGTCCCTCACCCCCGTGGTTGTTCAAGCTTGTAGTTTTTGCACCTTCATCAATCCAGCCTCAAAATCTGCTCTTTAAGCCTTCACCTGCCCTAGTTGCTCTTATCTGCCTCCTCTTTTACATTCCCAGAATTCTATTCTAGTTGAGGTTTTTATTGCTACAACAGTCTCCCCCAGTATGTGGAATTCAGCCTTCGCACTGCTACCAGGTTAGTCTCCCTGAAGCACCATGTTCATTCTCTCATTCGCTACCCAAAGTTCTGATCCACAGAGTAGGTCCAAGCTTGGACCTAGCAAAATTTAATTCCCACTCATACTCCATAGTATCATGGCCTCAAATTCTGCATTTTTCTGTTTCTATATTCATATTAGTCTCTCTTCTCTCATCCTAGAAAAAAATCCTCCCCATCCTTCAAGATCTATTTCAAATGGTACCTCTCTTCCAGGAATCCATTTCCAATCACCCAACAAAATTGACCTCACCCTCTGTCAGCCCTGACAGGGCTCAGCTTACACCTTATTGATGGCACAAGTCACACAGCCTTGATGTACATTGACCTTGACATCTTACTGTCTTCTGCAGACCGAGTTCTTAATAGCCAAAATCATGTCTTATCCATCCTAACATCTTCCATGTAAGTTTAACTCAAGGATTTGTATAGTGCTCAAATATATGCTCCCTAGTCACTGGAAGCCATATAAATTCCTAAGATATCCTTCAATGGGGACAGTCAATACAATAGCATGGAAATTCATAAAACTCCAAAGTTATCAGAAATCGTGAGTCTCAAACTAGACACACCTAAATAAAATAAGGTTATTTAACTTCACAAATTCTTTGGACATAAAAAACAGGTGTTCTTATGCTCTTTAAAGCTTACAATAATGGACTAAAACATAGCTCATTAAAAAAATTCTAAAGAAGTAGGGCTGGGGTGTAGCTCAATGGTAGAATGTGCTTGCCCAGCACACACAGGGGTCCTGGGTTCCATCCCCAGCACAGCGGGGTGAAAATCTAAAAGAAAAAGATGACAATAAAATTGGGGTTCTAAACATCTGTTTTAGGCAAATTATAATAAGCTACATCTAACTAACTTGCATTACACAGTAAATTGTTCAGTCTGCACTCTTTAATTTATCCAATTATAAGCTAAATTACTTTGTAGATAGTCTTAAGTTATGCAGATTTTATTTCTCTAAAGTATATTCAAATGCTTTCATACATAAGATTCATACACTCAAACTTCATGACAACAGTTAGCAATTATCATGTGACTATTTCTTCTCTGCTAAAGATGTTTTTGTTAAATCACTGATGAAAGTAAAATATTTGCAGATCAAATGGATCCTCCTAATAACTTTATTTTCAAAACATACCACCATTGTTACCTGAGCTATTTTCAAATCAAATTCCTCGTTTAAGCAAATACACCAAAACATATTTAGATAAATGCTGAAGTTATGATTTGCACAAAACTTGAAGACATTATGCAAGTAAAAAAATCAATTTGACTTTCAAAATCATAAGAAAAAGCAACATCCCTTGAAATTACTGAACGTCCTGAACTTTCTATTATCTAAGCAATTTCTGATACAAAGGTTAACTTTTGTGAACAAATGAGCAACAACAAAATTGCAAACTACTAGCATATTTTATTCTAAGTCAAGAGTTCCCAGGTGGAGCAAACAGAATGAGCACAGAGCTTTACAGTATGGCTTCTGTGGTTTCAGCCAATGGCAAAGACATTTTTATCATCTTCTTCAGGTGGTTCAGACTGGTGGAAAAGGAAAAGGAGCACAATAATTAGTTGAAGCTCAGCTATCACCTCTTGGTCCCTTAACATTTCATAAGCCAATATGAATGCCACTCCTTTTTCCCAATTATGTCACTAACTCACACACAGAAGTTCCATGGCTATGTGGTTGCTGAGAGCTAAAGTTCCAGCTAGGTGGAAACTGCCCGAGGTCAAAATTACACTAGAAAATCTCTAAAACATCTGCCATCATCTGGAAGGTGTGCATGCCATGTCCCAACGGTCCAACAGTGAGTGTTTTTTTTTTTTTTTTGTAGTTGATGTTGTTATTGTTTTGTTTTTCTTTCTGATGTTGGAGGAAAGGCATCCCTCTGTTGATAGAGCTGGCTTGGCTTTAGGGCACCGCTGTATGAAAATTACATGTTAATAGCCAGACTTTGACATTCAGCCCAATTAGATGCTCATAAGAGGTGGGTATGAGCTGCTGTCCATGGAGCAGGGAGTAGCATGAAGCAAGAGATTCTCCCATTCCACCCAAACCCCAAGGCTCATGCCCACTGAGAAGAACAGCAGACAGGATCACTGTGTGATCTAATTTTGCTGTGTACATCGCATGCAATTTAACTCGGGCATGGCAGACATTGCCAGTTACCTACCCAATGTCTATTCTCCCCTGTTTCCTTAGTAACAGCACCCACCCTATTTTTAGAAAGAGGGGATGGTAATAGTAACATGCTCACATTTTCACCTCCTCAGAGAGGAACTGCATGCACCCACCCTGGCAATCAGGGTAGGCCCTGGGACCCAGCTCCAGCCAATAAGATGGAACAAAATCTATTCGATTTGACTTCCATGAAAATTGTTTTCCTAATTTAAAAAGAGGGGCTGGCACATGACTTTTACCTTTTATTCATCCCCTACTTCCTACCTGGAAAGTTGGGAAAAGGAAAAAGTTTAACTCTTTGTAAACTTGGGTATTGTTTTAGCTTATTACATAAGAGTAATTCATATTTTGCAATGAATGATAAACATTCAGAACAGCCAAAGATAGAAAGTAAATTCACCCAAAATATCACCACTGAGAATGATGGCAGGTGATTTTGAGGTGCACCTTTCTGGGATTTAGACCCATTACTGTGTGTGCAGGTACATGCTCTGACTCTCGTCCTCTGTAATGCTGTAAAATCCTTGTTCCCTCCTGCTCACGGCTGCTCATCCTCTTTTGCTGGATTCACCCCCCTACCCAACTTCACATGGAAGTGTCCAGGAACGCTACCTGGGCCACATTTTCTGACTGGGTCAACCCATCCATTCTCAGGCCTACTTTCTGTCATGAGCTTCAGCCGGTTATCCATCTTGGCTCAACTCAGATGCTGAAATCACGTGGAAAGTTTATTCTAATCAAACCTGAAGTATCTGTCCTCAAATCCAACCCTTCCCAGTCTTTGGCACCTCCTTAAATGACACCAGTGTCCCCCCAGTTGCTTGAGCCCTAAACATTGTCCCCAACCCTGCCTTTTTACCACCACCACATCCAATCCATCAATAATCCTTCCAGATCCTTCTGCACTGCCCACATCATCCAATTCCCGACCCTTAACACACATAACCCTAATGAGAGTCCTTTGATCTTTACCCTTGTGGTACCAAAAAATAATTAAAAAATAATAATCACAAAGCCCAACTTTGGTGACTTTTTTTTTTTAAGATTACCCACTTAATTTTCTGTTAATGAGATAAAACAAAACTCTTTAAAAAATCAATATCTGCACTCTAAGGTAAATGCAACTATATTCCTATAAAGACATTTTACAAATGGTCTCCTTAAGAAATCTAGTTCAGACTTGTAAACTGAAGACAATCTCAAGATTGGCGTCTGTAAAAAGCCCTACTGTGAGTACTGGGGAGTGATCCTGGAGAAATCACATTGTTATATTGTCTATCATGTGCAAGGACAAATATGTAACAACAAACCCCCCATCAGTGTGTACAACTATAATGCACCAATAAAAATTGTGTGGGGGAAGAAGCCCTATTGTTAAATGCTGCGAGAATTAACAAAATAATAATCAGAGAATCCAGCTGAGTGGGAGAGCTGCTGTCCTTACAGACATTATTACCAAGAACAGAGGGCCGGTGGCTGCTGTACACGTTCTGTCCTTGCTCTGTGGGCCTCCATAATAATGCCACCAGGAAACTCCTCCACATTGTGACTTCAGGCTTCTTTGACTACCTCCTCTCCACCCCCATCCACTCCCCCTTCCTCGCCCTCCCAAGGTCTTTGGCTCCAGCCCCAACAACTAAATCAGTTTGTAGTTAACACCCTCACAGCGTCTTCTGGAGGAAATCTCTCCTTGCCTCTTTCTGACTAAAATGTGGCTGACTTCTGAGGGCACCACCTGCCTGACACCTTGTGCCTCAATTATCTTTCTTGGATATCCCATTAGGGGTTGAGCATTCTGAATCTGAAACTCAAAAAGTTTCAGAGCATTTCAGATTTTGGATTTTTGGATCGGGAAAACTCAATTGGTAAAGCCTCATGGAAATATTCCAAAATCCAATCCCTGTGAAATCTGAAACCCTTCTGGTGCTAAGCATTTCAGATCAAGAACAATGGACCTGGGCGCTAAGTTTGTGGCTCAGCGGTAGAGCACTCGCCCAGCACGTGCGGGGGCCCTGGGTTTGATCCTCAGCACCATGTAAAAATAAATCAACAAAATAAAAGTATTTGTCCAACCTATAATCTACAGCACTTTCCAAAGTTATCTACTAGTCAGGTAACAGAGACCACCTCGACCTCAGGGTCCTGAGAATGACCAGACCAGCAAAAGCCATCTTGTGATCACCAGACTGACAGCACCCTCATATACCTCCCCACGTCCACCCCTCACTGATCTCCTTTAAAAAGTCTGAGAACTCCAAAGGAACCTCTGGCCAAATGACCCACATTCTCCCTTGAATGTGTATTTCTTGCTTTCCTACCTACATCGCTGCGCCTCTAATTCACACACCCTTAAATTAATCTCCATAATGTTTTTCAAAATTTCACTCATTCCGAGTCAAGATCTCCGGCTTGCCAGGAACTTTCTCAGAACTTCTCCAGTGAGAACTAGAGAAGGACTCCTCCACTCAGCCCACCACCTTGGGACTGTGACTGCTGATGCCAAAAGCCCAGAATCTCCTGTGTCTGTCCTGAGACCCAAGTAAGGTCCTGTCCTGGTCCTGCAGTTCCAGAAATCCAATTCTCAGTCCCCCAAACCCCAGCACTGCCTCATTTATTTACCCCAGGGGAAGTAGGGAAGGTCTCCTCTGTAACCAAAGACTTGGAACAAGCTTCTGGGGTCAAAAATTCTGGCCCCACTTGTGCTTGTCCTTGGGACATGGTAAAATACTGTCTGGGTCCCACAGCTACAGGGAAGTGGTTATCAGTGCTATAAGCCCCAATACCACCTAAATCACCACACAGGACTTAGGGAAGGTCCCCTTTGTGTCCCACTATCTAGAAACCAAAGTTACTGATATCACAGACCCCAGTATTACTTGTGATCATCCTATGGGACCTGAGAAAGTCCCTTCGCATCCTGTGGCTGCAGGTGGCAAGATCCAAGTATCTCCTCCATTCATCCTAAGTGAGCTCCTTTACATCCTATGGCTCTGGGATCATGGTTGCTGATACCACAAGCCTTGGACAGCTACTCATCCAGTAGGACTAGATACAGTCCCTTCCACATCTCACCCAACTAAAACCAGGGCCAACTGCTGCCACAGGAACCAGTTCCATCAATACTCAACCCTGTGGGACCTGAGAACAGGCACCTATGCAAGCCTGATATCCACTGCAAAGTCAGTCACTTTCATGAACCACTGTAGTCGAGGCTACTGTAGCATTTATAGGCACTGTGGATATCAATCACAGCCAAAGGAATTATACTGAGGCTACGATTTTGAACTCCCTTATAATCTAAACACTTACCCAATGGACAGCCTACATCCCATTGACAGAAAATCTACTAAATTGGAAGAGGTGTCTATTATACCAGATGCACAGACATCAACATAGGGACATAAGAAACATGAAAACTCCGAAAAACACAACCATGCTCCAGAAACAGATCTCAACTGGAAAGAAATCTGTGGACACCTGAAAAGGAAATTCAGGGTCCTGAGAATGACCAGATCCTAAGGGAACCCAGTGAGAGGTAAGAAAATATGAATAATACAAAGAATTGAAGAAGAAAAAAAAAAGGACATAAATGAGAAATTCATCAAAGAGAATTTATTTCAAAAATTCAGAAATCTTAGAGTTAAAATTTTCAATCAATGAAATAAAAATATAAGTGAAGAGCTTGCAGATTAGAATAAGCAGAAGAAAGAATTTCTAAACTCGAGGAGAAAATTTCTGAATTAACCCAGACCGAAAACAAACAAAAGAACGAAGAAAGCCTACTTTTGGTACACCATTAAGTGAACAAATATATGAATTATGAGAATTCTAGGAAGAGGGAAAGCACTGAAAACCTATTTCAATTATAATACCTTAAAACGTGCCAATCTTCAGAGATGGATGTACAGACAGGAAAAACTTACCCCACCATACACTGAAACCTCTGAAACCGTGAGCCAAAATAAATCTTTCCTCCCTTATATTGTTGTTAATCAGGCATTTTGGTCTCAGTGATGAAAAGCCGACTATCACAGTCATGTTATTCAATTTCTATGCATTGACATACTTTCCATTTTTCTTATTGATTTGTAGTTTTATTATATTGTGGTCTGAAAAATACGTTTATGATTTCAACTTTTAAACAATTTTTTCAGGGCTGGGGTTGTGGCTCAGTGGTAAAGCACTCGCCTAGCATGCGTGAGGCACTGGGTTCAATTCCCAGCACCACATACAAATAAACAAAGGCCCATTGATTTGTTGCCTAACCTATTATCTATTCTGGAGAATGAGAATGTGTATTCTGCTGCTGTTGGGTGAAATATGTTTTGGTAAATGTCGATTAAGCCCATTTGCTTTATAATATGATTAACACATTATTTCTTTGATGATTTTCTGTCTGCATGAACTGTTTACTGAGGAAAATAGAGTACTGAAGTCCCCAGCTATTATTGCTATTATTTCTCTTTAGATCTAATAGTATTTGCTTTAAATATTTGGGTAGTCCAGTACTGAATGCATACATAAGTACAACTGCTATATCTTCTTGCTGAATTGATCCTTTATCAGCATATAAAGACCCAATTTTTCTTTTCATAGTTTTTGATTTAAAGTTTGCTTTATCTGATATGAGTACAGCTGTTCCTGCTTGCTTTTGGTTTCTCCTTGTTGGTATTATGTTGTTTCAACCCTTAACTTTCAGTTATCTGAAAGTATATCTTCACCAGTGAAGTGAATTTCTTGTAGGCAGCATATAGTTGGGTCTTGTGTTGTCAGTTGAGTTAGTCTGTGTCTCTTGATAGGTGAATTTAATCCATTTACATTCAGGGTTATTATCAATTGATATGAACTTCATCCATTTTGTTAATTGTTTTCTGCTTGTTTTGTATATTTCTTTAACATTTATTTTTGTAATTTGCAGTTTTTATATCATGCTAAGATTCTCTTTCATGTATGTCATTCTAGTGAGTCTATGCTCATGTACTTTCTTTTTTTTTTTTTTTTTTTTAAATGTAAACAAATGACAATTTGGATTTTTTTCTTTTTTTAATTTATTTATTTTTAGTTCTCGGCGGACACAACATCTTTGTTGGTATGTGGTGCTGAGTATCGAACCCGGGCCGCACGCATGCCAGGCGAGCGCGCTACCGCTTGAGCCACATCCCCAGCCCTCATGTACTTTCTTGATGATGGTTATCATCATTTTGTTTTTAGTATAGAACTAGAACTCCCTTAGGCACTTCTTGTAGGGCTGGTCTGGTAATAATGAATTCTGTCAGATCCTGATTACCTGGAAAAATGCTTTATTTCTTCAATTCTGAAGGGTAGTTTTTCTGGACATAGTAGTCTTGGTTGGTATGTTTGTTTGTTTGTTTCAACTCAAGACTTCAAATACATCATCTCATTCTGTACTGGCCTGTAAAGTTTCTGCTGAGAAATCTGACAGTCTAATAGGTGTTCCTTTGTATGTGACTTGATGCTTTTTTTTTCTTGATATTTAAAAGATTCTCTTTGAATCTAGATTCAGCCAAAAAAGACCTTCACCAAGGGCATTTGCTATTAAAAATATCAAAAGTACAAGACAAAATAGAATAGTCTCCATAGCTGGGAAACTTCAACACTCCACTTCCCTCAGTAAACAGATCATATCAACAGAAATTCAACATCTGAGTTGGCTCATATTATAGAGCAAATGGACCCAATAGATATTTACCAAATATATTTCACCAAGAGCAGCAGAAGACATATTCTTCTTGTTCTCCAGAATAGATCATAGATCGGGCAACAAATCAAAGATCAAAAAATGTTTTAAAGTTGAAATCATAAATGTATTTTTCAGACCACAGTGCAATAAAACTACAAATCAAAAAGAAGGTGGAAAGTATGTCAATGCATAGAAATTGAACAACATGCCCCTAAATGACCGTGTGAGCTTTCCTTCACTGGGACCCAAATGCCTGATTAACAACAATATAAGGGAGGAAAGATTTATTTTGGCTCATGGTTTCAGTCTATGGTGGGTGGCTCCATTGCTTTAGGCCTGAGGTGACGCAGCACACACAGCAGGATTTGGTGAAGAGAGGCTGTTTCTTGTGGCTAAGAAGCAGAGAAAGTGTGAACAGGAAGGGGCTGAGGAGAAGAAATACCGGTTCAGGGCCCACCCTCAGTAAGGTACTTCCTCCAAGAAAGTCCCACCTCCCAGTAGTCCATCCTATTATCTGATGAGGTCACAGCCCTCCTAATGTAATCATTTCCTCACATCCCTACATATGAACATGGCTGTGTTGGGAATTAATCATTCAGCACGTGAGTCTTTGGAGAACATACTAGACCCCAACTAAAACAATGACCAATGAATAACTGAAGAAATTAAAGGGAAGTTAAAAAATTAACATGATAGTACAACATATGAAAATCTGTGTGATACAGCAGCTGGGCACAAGGGCACATGCCTGTAATCTCGGTACTTAGGAAACAGAGGCTGGAGGATTGCAAGTTCAAAGCTGGTCTCAGCAACTTAGTGAGGCCCTAAGCAACTTGGACCTTGTAGCAAAAAAATAAAACAAAAAAAAGAGCTGGGGTTGTAGCTCAGTGGTTAAGTGTCCCTGGGTTCAATCTCTGGTTTAAAAAAAAAAAAAAAAACAGAAAACAGAAAAACTGTGGATGGAATACAGCAAGTGCAGTATTATGAGGGGAATTCTAACAATAAATGCATACATCAAAAAAAAAAAAAAAACAGAAAAATCTCAAACAATCTAACCATTCACCTGAAGGACCTGGAAAAGCAATAACCGACTTAAAACCAGTACAAGAAAAGAAATGATAAAGATCATAAATAGGAGCTGGAGATACAGCCCAATGATAAGAATGCTTGCTTGGCATGTGTGAGGCCCTGGGTTCAGTCCCCAGCAGGGCAAAATAAGCAAGTGAATAAACAACAACAAGACAAAAAAAGTAAGAAGAGCAATGAAAGTCGATTTCTTGAAAGGTTAAACACTGACAAACATTCAGCTAGACTAACCGAGAGAGAAGACTCAAAATCAGAAATGAAAAAGATATTACAACTGATATCATGGAAATATAAAGGATCCTAAGAAACCACTATGAACAATTATATGTTAAAACCCTGGAAAACCTAGAAGAGATGGATAAATGTCTGAACGCATACAACTTATCCAAATTCAATCAAGAAAACAGAAAATATAAACAGACCAATAATGAGTAACAAGATTGAAGCAGTAATTCAACAAAAATCTCACATCTTAAAAAAAAAAAAAAGAACAGGACATGATTTCATGTTAGTCATCTCTTCATCACTGTGACCAAAATACCTGACAAGAACAAGTTAGAGGAGGAAAGATTTAAGTGCTTAACTTATCTTTCAGGAACAGCCTCCCAATTCCACTCAAGAAGAATTTGGAAGCAGCTCTTTAAGAACGGACATGTGCAAAAGCTAGCTTGATCGACCAATGACCTTTTGATGTCACAAGGTCAAAATCCGCCATGCAGAACCCATCCCCCAAACAAACATGCAACTTATAAAGATGCAGGATGATCATTTACAACTCCCCATAAAGAACCTGAAACTCCCTCCCCACCATCCAACCAACACGTGACTTCTCCCCTCTCCCTTCAGGCATAGCCTCTCACTGCCAACTGAATGAGGAGCCGATTTGAGCATTACTATCTCCTGGGCTTCCTTGCTGGTTGATTAGGCAAAAAAAACTTCTTTGTTTTGAGAAAACTCCATGCTACAGGTTGGGCTTCTGTGTAACCTGAGCAGTAAGCCTTTGCTCAATGTCAAAAACATCAGAGTGTCTTTTAGTGCCTGTTTCCTCCCACTCCAATTCACATCTACTGAACAATGTAAATCTTTGTACCTACCTGCAGGATGCAATAATAAAACCGGCCTTTGGTTTTCCTTATGAAGGCTCTGTGGGATTTAGCCTGGAAGAAATCGATCCATCTCTTATTATCGTCATATTAAGCAATTTAAAAACAAGAACATAATCTATGCATACATATATATCACAAATCATTCAATTACTTGCTAATGAACAAGCAGAATCCATGGCAACCCAGGTTATCAACACAAGAAGTTAAGTTTTCACTCGATTCTATTTTATGCATTATCTTTGTCTACACTACTAGGCTATAAACTGTAAGAAGAACTTCATAACCCCCATTCAAAGCACCAATCCCTAACTCCTTGTACCTCTTGTGTCAGGGGCTGAAACAATCTAGTCCCAGAGATGTCCACTCTATTTCCTTAGAAAAATATGTAGAGTCATTACTGAGATGAAAAACATGACAGACAGTCACCACAGACAGGCATCCAGATCAAGATGAACCTTTAAAAGATTCTCAGGGCTGTTGTACATCACGCACTTAGCCCAGGAAGCACTAGGTTCCTACTAAAAATAAAAATCAAGTCACACTATCCCATATTTTGAAGAGATGGGCCTGGTATCAAAAGGAGACGAATGCAAATAGTAACTAATACCCAACAATGTTAATTGAAAAGATATCTGCCTAAAATGTGGTGGTTACTCAAAATAAATGAATTCTCCAGAACACTAGGTGATAGAATCTCTAATGCTTAAGCTAGAGTTGCTCTATGTCAGCAGTTCTCACGGTATGGTCTGAGGAACACTTAGGGAACCCAAGCTTCAGTAAGGGCAAAATTATTTTGATAATAATGAAATAACATTTTACTCTCTTAAAAATGTACAGTGGAATTTCCTAAAAGCTATATGACTCAACAGATTAAACTCAAAAGCAGATAAGGGAATCCAGGTGCCTTGGATTAAGTGAGACATGAAAAAAGACATTGAAGTCAGACATTAAAACAGACATTAAGATTTGCAAATGAAACAATGCTCTTCTCGTGTTTCTTATTTTAAAAATGTAGTCATTTTTCATAAAAACTACATTAACATAGGAAGGTTTATTACTGTTATTTAAAAGTAAATACATGTTCAAAGAGTCTCAATTTTTAATATTGGAAATATTCACAGCTCTTTCTCTCCTAAGCAAAAGCTCTTTGGGAATCTGCAAGAAATATTAAATTTGTAAAGAGATCTGACTCAAAGAAGTTTGAGAATAATTCACAGCCAACCATGGGCACCCAGTGAAGAGGTCTTTAAAAGGCTATCACCTCTGATCATGCAGAATGCTACAGAATGAAGATGACTACGTGAAAGGATTTTGAAAATGGCCCTTACAATCATCATTACTGTGTTCACTAGAGTAAATAGCAGGATGGATAGTAAGTCTTAAAAGCACTTTTTTCTTTGCTTTTCAATATACAACGTGATCAAAATAATATTCCTTTAACAACAGATTTCCAGATCAATAAATAATAAATAGACAGATACATAAATAGCAAAGCTGGTTCTCATCTGGCAGAGAAAACTTTAGCCATTACAGCCATTACAAATTTATACAGGGATTCCTTCTGATCATCCAAGTGGGAAGAGAATACTAGATTTTTTTTCCCCAGAAAAAAAAGGAAAGGAGTAAAAGACTTTACTTTCCATCCCCCCCACCCCATAGGCTCCAGAAGATGGGAGAATATTCCAAATGGACAGAGCAGCAACCTCAGGATGTACACTGTGAAGTCCAGCCAGAGGAGTACATAGTGCAGTAAGCCCATTTGTTTGTTTGTTATTTGTTTGGTCCTGGGGATTGAACTCAGGGGCACTTGGCCACTGAGCCTCTATACTCATCCCCCCCCCCCCTTTTTTTTTTTTTTGGAGACAGGGTCTCACTGAGTTGCTTAGCATGCCACTTTAGCTGAGGCTGGCTTTGAACTTGCAATCATCCTGCGCCAGCCTCCTGAGCCACTGGGATTACAGGGGTGTGCTACTGCGCCTGGCTCCATTTGTTTTTAAAAAAGTGCATGTACACACACACACGTTTATATTTAATATATACTAATATCTGCAAAATATGTAGAATATGGTCTATTATCAAGAACATCAGTACATAACTAAAATCAGTAAATGAATATTTACTCAGAAACCTAAATAGATATCTCCAAGGTAATCAATTTTGAAAATACGGCTTAAAAATAAAGCCATTTGGATCACAATTTTTTTTTCACCATTTACCCTTCTTGACTGACATCATCAGCCACACTCCATCCCCAAGGAGGTGCCTTGGAAATCCCCAGTCTAAAAAGGCTCTGCTGTTCCGATGCTTAAATGAGCTTTGCCAACGCCCACTGACCATACTTCTTAGCAAAAGCATTACTTTATACACCAACCAAAGGACTCAAGGACATTTTTAAAAGTACCTCAGCACTTGCTCATCACAGAATGATTTCAGATCATCAAACTGTTTCCCCAAAAATTCCTAAAATTGAACAAAAGATTTATGTAAGTAGCTAACACTTTTTCCTCCACAGAAGAGATACTCCTCAGTCACCGAGAGAGTTCCGAACAAGAACAACTTACCAAAATATCCTTCTCAAGGTGTTTTAGAGCCTGAATATCCTTCTCAAGATTGCTCAACTCTTGGAGAACAAAATCGTGAAAGTGCTGTAGCTTATTGAGTCTGATAAACATAAAAGCAACACATTTCATGGGGTTTCTAGAGTGTGACGAATGATATCTCACCAGATCTTTATTAAGAACATGGAAGAGGCTCCCTTCTCCTCCTCCTTTCCATGCCTGCTCATCCCCAATCTCCAAACTCCCAACATGCAAACTCCCAGTTCATCTTTCAACAGCATCCGGGAAGCTGGTGTTTCCTTATCATTCTTAGGAGAGCACAGGACAGATGTCTCCAGGGAAGAGAAAAGACTAAGGGCTCTCCGTTCCTTCTGCCTTCCACTTGCTGTCCTTTCTCTATCTGGTCTTAAACTGGCCCTGAAAGCTGTGGTCAGGAATGGGCTCATGACACCATCTTTCCACCTCTGTTTTAGTTCTAGAATTTCTAACAGTTGCCGTTCTGACATATAGATTCCTTATCTGTTTGCTTTTGTGTGTGTGTGTGTGTGTGTGTGTGTGTGTGTGTGTCTGTGTGTCTGTGTGTCTGTCTCTCTCTCTCTCCTCTGTTAAGGTGAACATTCCACGAAGAGAAGATTTCCTAGAGCTTGCTGCTATAGTTTGGATGTGGAATGTCCCCAAAAGGCCCCCCGTGTTAAAGAACTGGTTCCCAAACTGGTGCTATTGGGAGGCGGTGGAAGGTTTAAGAAGTGCTGTCCAGCTAGGTCACTGGGAGCATGCCCTTAACCCTTGACAAGGACTGTGGGACCCCAGCTCCTTCCCCCCCCTCTCTCCCCCTCCCTCTCTCTCATGTTTCAGTCATGAAATGAGCAGATTTTCTCTGCCATATGCTTCCAGCATGACTGCTGCCTGGTCACAGGCCCAAAGCAACAGAGCCAGCTGATCAAGAATTGAAGCCTCCAAAACCGTGAGCCCAAACAAACTTTTCCTTATGATTATCTCAGGCGTTTGTCACAGTCAGAAAGCTAACGCTGGTGCTCGTAGCTCTCCTGTGCTGAGCAAGGAGCCTGGTACCCAGAGTCACTCAATGTGCACCTGTTCAATGACTATGTGGCTGACCGTGAGCCCCCGGAGCATAACAGGAGCTTCACAAATCCAAAGTCCTTCCCGGGCTTGTTTGGACAAGTAAACGACATTGCATGTATGTAAGAGTTGGAAAAAATATTACAAATGTCTATTTAAAGTATTCTACCCTAAGAAACTTTCTACTTTAGCAAACTGACTTTCCATCCCTTTCTTCCCTTCCTCATCTGCAGCCCATTCTTTCTAATAGGGCACAATTTCTATACTCACCTCCCCTGCACCACTCAAATCTTTGTTTCCAAAGCCCACTCAAGAAGCACTTCCTTTGAGAATGTTCTGAATTCACTCTGATCAATACAGAATTTCATCCCTCCATTCCCCTTCCCACCCCTCTGAAACTTGGGTGTCTTGGTGCTTCTTGCTCCATGATCACAAGGGGGAACAGGTGTGTGAGTGTGAGTGCATGGATGAGCAGCATTTTCTTATCTGATTAATATACATAACATCAAATTTGCTTTTAGCCATCTTTCACTGTGCAGTTCAGTGGCATTAAGTTCATCACACAATGTTCGACAACCACCACCATCATCCATTTGCAAAATTTTTCCATCATACCGAACAGAAACTCTGCACCTATTAAATAGTAACTGCCCCTTCTCTCAACTTTGGAGACCTCCAACGTACCTTCTATGTCTATGGATTTCCATTCATACTCTTGTAGTTACCTCCTCTAAGGGGAATAATGCAGTACCTCTTGTGCCTGGATTCTCTCTCTTAGCACGTTTTCTAGGTTTATCTGTGTCACAGCATGTGTTAGAATTTTAATTCCCTTTTAAGGTTAAATTAACATTCTACTGCATGTCTGTACAATTCATCTACCCAGTATTTTTCACACGTATATCCATGCTTACCCTGTCTTCACACATGGATTTGAAAATTCTTAAGAACAATATTTTGGGATCATATAATGGTAGACAATGAAAGGCTCAAGGAGGATATTTAGTTCATCTTATGGATGCAAAACCAGATACCTGGAGGGGTTGAAGCATGTATCAAACTCACATCTGGCTCAGGCTGCAACTCCTCAGGCCCCCGTACAGCAGTCATGAGATAAATATTGTTTGTGAATAATCACATTTCTATGAATTGCTTTGAAATTCAATACTTACTTGCAGAAGTGTATCAGGTTTAAAAGTTTTATTATGCAATTCGGTGTTTTCTTTGCCTTTTCTGAAAGAGGACTCTCACTGTACCTGAACTAAACCATAACAACAAAAACAAAATCATCAATTTGAATTAAACATAACTATATAAGTGTAGTGTGTGCTTTGCATTAAAAAGATTCTGCCTGAACATTATAATATCCATAGTAAACATACTGCCGAGGAACAGTGATGGGGCGCTATTCTGCATACCTTTCAGGAATTATCTCAAGCTTGGTACTAATAAAGAAAAATGAGAAAAATCAGAAAGCATATATTCATGTTGAATACTAAAAGCATATTTTCATTATAAATTTTCTTGCATTGATATTGAAGTTGAAGGTAGACTTGGTAGCAGACCTTTGAGATGCTGTACCTACAACCTGTCCCACAGCCTGGTCCGCAAGATTAAAAACCAACATTCATTTAACTAAGATGGAAGGCTTCCAAAGTCTTACTACTCTGTCTCAGAGTCCTCTCCTCCATATGGTCACCCTCTCCCCCTATCTCTGACTATCATCTTGGGTCCAACTCATTGCTTTCTGAGAGTTCATTTGTCTGAGAAAGCATACAGTGGAACCCAACCATTAGTCTGATGTCCACATATTTAGTCCCGTTGGAGCATATGGACATGGAACAGCTAGCTATAAATACAAACCGCAAAAATCAGCGACCACAGCTAAGACAAATACACCTCCCCAAAGACTCAGGAGCACCTTCACATATGAAGAATGACAACAGTATTGATGAATATTATATATATGTTAAACTCATAACAAGCTAATTTTTCTACCTTTGTCTTATTTTCAGCTTTGTTGAGCTAAAATTGACAAAATTATTTATATTCAAGGGGAACATGTGGTGTTATACATACATTGTAAAATGATCATCACAACCAACCTAATTAACATATGCATCGCCTTACTGTTACCTGTGTGTGCGCACCGTGAGAACACCGGAGATCTACTCTCTTCACGAATTTCAAGTACAATTATTAACTATGTCACACCATGCTGTACATGGGGTCTCTAGAACTTACCCATCTTATAATTAAAAGTTTTGTTTCTTTGACCAACATGTCCCCATATCCCTCATTCCCCTAACTCGTGGTAACCACCCTTCCTCTCTCTCTGCTTTTGAATTCAATGTTACTTAAATTCCATATTTGAGATCATGCAGTATTTGTCTGGCTTATTTTCTTTTGAACAACGTCCTCCAGGTTCATGAGATAGTTTTTCATTTTTAGCGGATGATTACCTCGTATTTTCTTTTCATTTCTCCGGTGAAGTTTTCCAAGGCTGTGACAATGGCAGAAACATTCAAGTTCTCAGGCACATATTCCAGAGATGGAGTAGAAATGCCTAACAGAAAAAAATATATTAAATAAAATTAATAAATGCCCAAAGGAGACAGGCTTGGTCCAACAGCTTCCCAGAGGATGGAAGAGCGTGTGAGAACCACAGGTAGGAACCACCGATGCCCCACTGCCTGTAACAGTGCACTCGGTGACTCTGGCCATGATTGTACAAGGTCAGCAGGAGCCTCATGCTGCCTCTGACCAAGTGACCTCTCTCTCTGGCATGAGCTTATTTCAACCAGACTCTCTTAGTGCATCACTGTTCCATATAACAGATGGATTCATTTTGACCTAACCATACATTCATGGAATATGATGGGCTCCATTTTGGTAGAGTACTTCCTCTTTCCCTTCTCTCCTTCCCTCCCCTGTCCCCCCCCCTCTACTCCGTGGGTCTTCCTTCTATTTATGTTTTCTAAATGGGTGCTTTATAGATATAAAGGTGGAATTCGCTGCAGTATGTTCATGTATGTACATAGCATAATTTGGTCAATTTCATCCTGAAATTCCTCCCTTTTCCCATCCCTACTCCCTCCCTCCTCCAAGTCCACTAATCTCCCTTCTGAGTTCCGGGATCCCCTTCCCATCTTTCCCTTTATTTTCATATAGCTTCCACACATGAGAGAACACATTTAACCCTTGACAGAGTCTAGCTTACTTCATTCAGCATTATGTTCCCCAGTTCCATCCACTTACCAGCCAATGCCATAATTCCATTCTTCTTTATGGCTGAGTAAAGCTTCATTGTGTACGTCTACTACACTGGGCTGTTTATATAACTTGGCTATTTTGAGTTGTACTTCTATAAACATTGATATGCCTATATCACTACATCATGCTGATTTTAGTTCTTTGGATAAATAACCAAGGAGTGGGACAGCTGGTTCATATGGTGGTTCCATTCCTAGTCTTTTGAGGAATCTCCACACTGCTTTCCCAAGTGGTGGTATTAGTCTTCAATCCCACCAATAATGTATACCTTTTCCCACACATTTATTACTATCTGTGTTCTGGATGATTGCCATTTTAACTGGAGTGAAATGAAATCTCAATGTAGTTTTGATTTGGATAAATTCAGCAAAGCAGATAGAAGATCAAGATATGAAAATCAATACCTTTCCTATGTTCCAATAATGAATCTGCTGAGAAAGAAATCAGGAAGATGACTCCATTCACTATAACCTCAAAACAAAAAACAACTTGGGAATAAATGTAACCAAAGAAATAGAAGATCTCTATGATGAAAACTATAGAAGAATATATATATTTTGAAGAATACTTTAGAAAATGGAAAGACCTCTCATGTTCTTGAACAGGCAGAATTAAAATGGTCAAAATGGCCATACTACCAAAAGCAATATACAGGTTCATTGTAATCCCCATTAAAATACCAAAGAAATTCTTCATAGAACTAGGGGGGAAAGTCCTAAAATTCATATAGAAGAAAAAGAAAAATCAGAATAGATTACATATTTCTAACCCCCAAAATCTAGTCAATAACTATCAGCTAAAGCAGAGGCCTAAAACTTTAGGAACCTCAGGCCCGAGATTAACCCTAGAAGAGTTAAGAGGCAGAAATAAAAATGCTAGGATGGAAGCCTGCTTGCTTCTATTGAAAATGCTAAGTTTTTAGGTGTCTGCAGCTACAGTGATCTGAAAACTATAACTTCCTTGTAATTCAGGCAGGTACACATTTCATGACCATGTATTTATTGCACTCTACTTCAACCGCTGGCTGGGTGCATGACGTTACCTGCCAAGCCGGAGGCTCCCTGAGCAGCGTCTTCTAATCTTGATTGTTTTGGCAAAGCAAAACTCCCATCTGGGACGCCTAAGGGCAAACACAGCACATTGATGACTCCACATACATCCCTTTTGTCCAAAATGTATCTTGTGCTCTTTTCTTCCGTTAATATATAACCTTGACATACAGCAAGTAAAACTCATCCCCTGCCTGTTAATTATTACTTATCATTTGGTGCACCAAATCGAATAAGCGCAGCCTAAGTAAGTATCAAAACACAGAGCCTTCTGATGCAGAGGAGGGGAACAGGCATTCCTTTGTGAGCTCGGTTACATTTAGCAAAGCTCGGGCAGATTCCCTAAACAGTGTTTCTGAATAAGGCCATGACAATAAATATCAAAAACATTTCCAGGGCTCTGAGCTCAATGGCAAAGTATCCGGATTTCTAGGCAGAGGGACCTTGGGAAGTTCTTCAGATCACAACCCAGATGGCGCCACCTGCTGGTCACACTGGAGCATTGCACCGAGGCCATCTGATTGATAAGGCCATCTTGGCTGCTCACTTCTCCAGTGATTGACAGTCTCTGCTGATGAGAGCCCTACATTGCCATATAGTGCGGTGCATCACTAAGTAGTTTCTATTACAATGTTCACTGGACTCTCCCAATCTTATCAATAGCACCCATTAACAGTGCATTGGCTTTATGCTCTATTTCTGATCTTCTTCACGGCTGGCTTAAACTCCATCATCAGGGCCTCAGGTCCTGCCCAAGGAATGAATACTTACTTCTATCCACATTGCTACACCATGACATGGCCCGTGGCCATCTCCCTGGAGGATGCCATCCATCCTATGTCTTCAACCTGTCACCTCCCAAATCTCACTCTTGCATCAAACTTGTGTCTCATAGCTCACCCAGTTCTGTTCTTCTCTACTATACCCCCCTTTCTCCATTCTGTACCCTTTAGCTATGATGTTCTGACTTTTCTCCCTTTCTGCCCATATTTCACTAATTCAGCCAATGAACATTTTGTGTTACTATGTGCAAGGAGCTGTGCAAGGTGTTCAGCAGACAGTGGAGAAGCAGAGGAGCATGTATCCTCATCCTTCACTCTGCTTCTTCTACCCTAAGCCCCTTGTGGTCCCTCCTACATCTCAGGCATATTATCATCTCAAGACCTGTGCACTTGAAGTTCCTTCTGATTATTGTATTTCTCCCAACTGCCTTAAGGCTCAACCTAACCACCTACCCTAAAATTTCAAGATATCTTCCACATTTTAAAACCCCTTTCCCTGCTCATTTTTTTATTTATTTTTTATTAGAATATACTATACAACAGGTTTAACTTCAGTACTCTCTCTCTCCCTCAACCCCACCACTAGATGCTAGGGTCCACCAAGGGCATGCTTTTTTGTCTGTTTCCTTCACTACTAGGTCCCTCACACCAAGAGAAGTACCCATCCCATAACAGATGCTCTATTAAAAAAAAAAAAAAAACTACTGAATAAGTGAATGAATGCAACAGAATACACAAACTCCTATAAAAAAGATACTTTATATGTTCCAATTGGATCTCTGTAAAATATATAAGAATTTAATTCTTCTCTACTGACAGCAAGAGGAGAAACAGAAGAAACCATAAATTTTAGAAAGAAAGTTGTCCCTTGGAATCAGAGAGGAACTGCAGCAATAGACAAAATATGAACGAGGGAGTTCATGGGATAGCCAAGTTGATATTTTATAGAATTTTCATACAGTGAACATTTCATTAGAGATCACATTTCTACTCTGCAGGACATGGCAAAGAGCCAACCAATACCCAGCCTCTCAACAATGAAACAAAATACAAAGTATAACACTCTCAACTCCATTAGATACCTTATTGAAGCCAGTATCTCCATCTTCTTGTTACATTTAGATTTAGGTGTGCTCAACTGTTGCACAAGTTTGGATGGGGACCTTCTAGGGAATTACGTTGTTTTCAGGGCTAAAGGTCTTTAAAAATCAAGGACAGGACGCAGTTGCAGCTCCCACTGTTTCTACTCCCAAAGCAGAGAGCTCCTGGCTATGGCTCCTCTGTGGTGTCTAGACCCCAATTGGGGTCAGAAAATACTCTTAGAAGGCCCCCAATTTGATAATGAACAACTCCTACATTTCTTTCTTGGCTGCCTTCTCTGCCCTTCCAGGAAGTTTTCCTTGGTGGTCAATTTGTAGCAATAGCTTAAATCATGACTTTGAACTTAGATTTATCACATCCACACATCACCTAGGGTAAAGCAGGGACACTAGTTATATCCAGTGATAAGAGGAGCCTATAGGCATGGACTGATTGCCCTGGTCAGCCCCTAAGGGAGTTCCTGGGAATTTGTGAACCCACTGAGACACATCTGGATGGACCCCTAAGGGACATGGAAGTCAGTGTCAGTGGGCACATAGAACCCTTCTTCTGAAGCACAATGAGGGGGGATGTTCCTATGTGTACTGCAGGTCTGGCAGGTCCACAGATGACAGCATCCTCCAGAGAAAGCAGTGCTGTGTCATGAGAGGCTGCCAGTCCTGAGGGAAGTCACCGGCTCGGCTTTGTTTCCATGGTAACTATATACCTCTTTTAGACTGCGCTGTTCACCATTCTCATAAAAGGGTTAAAACTACCTGCACACAACACCTGAGAGTAAACACACTGTGGGTGAATGTGAGTGGCCTCGGGTGGCTCCCTCTGTGTCTTGTCAGGGGCTGGAAGAAGGGGAGAGGCGCGTGCTCCTGCAAGAACTCAGCTTTGTGCATTTCCATGAAAGATTCTGGCCACTCAAGGAATTTCTGAAGTTAGAGTAGGTGGCCTGCTGGGCACAAGTTTTAGTGAACAGTTTGGTGGCCTTGTTGCATTTTGAAAACTCCTGCTAACAAAAAGCCGTTAGGTTCAGGCATTTAAAAATATCTTGCTCTGAAGTGACACCTTGTGGCACAGAATGACAAAGGCCAATAGCTTTCACTCAGCAATAGAGGACTTCACCAAAAACTGTCACTGTAATAGTCACAGCACTTTCTCAATGCCAATTCTTTTATTTATTCTACAGATACTTATTAATTACCAAGACTATTAAAAACTTTTGGATGGACTCGTACATTTAAAATCTGTAAATCAATTAATGGTATTTGGGACTGAGTATAAATATTCAAAATCTGTAAATCAATTAACGGTATTTGTTATTGAGTATAACTATTTATTCAAAATCTGTGAATCAATGGTATTTGTGACTGTGTATAAATATTTCAAAAATGGAAAAATGCACAGGTTCATGATTAAGTGTGAGCATTTTCTAGCTTTCTTGCTTCTTTTCCTTGGCAAATACTGAATTCCTCTATGCCAGGCACTGGACCAGACAATCACACCTCGGAATGGCATGAAAAAGCTCCCACCTGGCTCCTGCTTGATTTCAGAGGCCTCTTAAGAAGGTAAAAGAGGGGATATTCATATCTATAAATAAAATTATCCTTTTGAACTGACAATTCTGGGGGCTTTGCATGCATATCAAAAGTTCCAGGGTAAGGTAAACTGGACACGCTGGCACACGCCTATAATCCCAGTGGCTTAGGAGGCTGGGGCAGGAGGATCAAAAGTTCAAAGCCAGCCTCAGCAAAAGTGAGGCACTAAGCTACTCAGTGAGACCGTGTCTCTAAATACAAAATAGGGCTCAGGATGTGGCTGTGTACTGCAGGTCTGAGTGCCCCCGAGTTCAATCCTCCATACCCCCCAAAAAAGATTCCAGAGTAAACATTAACACATAACTTGATATTTGATTGAGGCTGCCATTATGAGTCAGCAGAACACACAAAATGTCTTAGGGTCTCTGTTTTGGGGAGAAGGGTATGCTGGGGATTTAATCTAGGGCCTCACACACTCTTGGCACAAGCTACAGCCCAGCTCAAAATGCTTTTACTGAAGGAAGTTACTTGAGCATCCTCTAGAGGGGGAGGTACAGCTGCTTCTGGCCACGTGGTTAAAAAATCCAGGACTGTATGCAATGATACGAAACATTTCAAGTTCTATTATATGTTTTTTGGCTATCCAAAGAAATGAATCAAAGAAACATAACCACTAGTAATGGTTTCTAAAAGGATTTAATGATTTTAGTCACTTATCTAAGACCCATACTTTAAGAACGTTAAAAAATGCGATCATTAGGAGATGGCTTTCTAATTCCTCTATTTTCTTAGAGAATAGCACAAAATAAAGATGTCAGGAATGATGTTTGACTAGTACCAAGACCAATAAGACTGATATTCACACTAGTAGCAGGTGACAAATTTAGCACCACCACACGTCTGCACACGGAGCCTCACGTCAGCATCTCACTGAATCCTCAAACCCTGAGAAACTCTCCCTCCCACCCAGAGATGTCCTCTGCTTCTGAAGGGCCCTACTCAATGGTGAGCATGAATATTTAATCATTAATATCTGCTCCTCTCTGGCCAGCTGACCTTGAGGTCAGCCTCACCTGAGGGGCCCTCAATGAAGATAAAAAGACAATAACTAACAGAGTGGCAGGAGTAAGTATGTTCTGCACCATGGTGACCCATGTGACTCTAGTTCACAGTAGCCTGTTACACACCTTATGCAGAATACCAAGAGGAGCTTAAAGGCTCCAAACAAAAAGTAATGATAAGGAAATAGAAATGCCAATTTTTGATCCCTGTTTGATCTGTATATGTTGTATGCATTTATTAAATTATAACATTCTACTCCATAAATATGTACCATTAATTAAAAATCACTGGGCATGGGGGAACACACCTGTAATCCCAGCTATTTGGGAGGCTGAGGCAGGAGGATCACAAGTTTGAGGCCAGCCTCGGTTAACTCAGTAAGACTCTGTGTCTAAATAAAAAAAAAAAAAAAAAAGTGAAAAGGGCTGGGGGTGTAGCTCAGTGGTAGAATTTTCCCGAGTTCAATCCCCAGCACACACTAAGTTAATAAATAAATTCAGTAAATAAAATAAAAGCCAGGTATAAACTAGATATTTGTCAACTCATAAGGATTAAACGACTCAAAGTAGAAGAATGGGGAAAAAAACATGTATAAGTCAT